TGTGGCGGCTATCGACAGGGAATTCTTATAGAACTGTAGCACTTACATTTGGAGTCGGTCGATGTACTGCAATGAATATCAAGGACGAATTTTGTGAGGTTTTAATAAGGCAAGCTCATCGCTTTATCAGATTTCCTAGGACCGAAGCAGAAACAATAAAATGTATCCAAGACTTTGAAAATATAAGCACATTTCCTCAAGTAGTAGGAGCATTGGATGGATCACATATTCCAATATCTGCTCCTACTGAGAACGCGTATGATTATCGTAACAGAAAGAAATTTATCAGTGTGATATTACAAGGAGTCGCTGATGCTAATGGKAGGTTCATTCACGTCAACACAGGTTATCCTGRCAGTATTCATGACGCTCGAGTTTTACGTATGAGTTCACTATTTACAGCAGTAGAAAACAATCGTATTTTCAACTCGCCTTCGTGTAGGATTGGTGGTAGCATGGTTAATCCTTTGCTAGTCGCTVACCCTGTATACAAACTCACCAGTTGGTGCATGAAGCCCTACCCTCAAGCTAGAGGAATCACAACACGACAAGAAGCTTTTAATAAATCGTTGAGCAGMGCGCGCGTGGTCATAGAGCAAGCATTCGGTCTTCTGAAGGGAAGATTGAGATGTCTATTAGATAAACTTGATGAATCAGTTGATAAAGTGTCCACCACTATCATTACTTGCTGTATTCTACATAAWATTTGACCAAAACGATGATACTGAAATTGAAGCTGTAAGAGATGGAAATGGAAACAACAATGTCCCCGTTCAATTTCACAACCCAGATGGAACAAGGCTACGCAGTCACATTTTAGACACATTATTCTGAATCAGTTTATTACTTTTTCATACGCACAGATTTATTGTTAAAGTAATAGATTTTATTGAATWAATATATCACAAAATCGTCCTGTTTGCATAAGTACGAGCATAGAACCACGCTACATGTTTCAATCCTATATCATATATGAGTTTCTGTTAAAAGTGAAATCTGAAGGTCCCCAATTTATTGTGCACATTTTGAGGGCTATTTTTCTAACAAGCTATATCATTTTAAGCACTAGTGAAACTGTAACAAAACTGATTAATAAGGCATATCAAAAACGTACTTGTGTTGTTGTGTCTAATTATTGTCTTTGAATATTTTTGCAACTTCTTTGATGGCGTCGAACATTAGTTTTTGACTTTTCAACTCACGTTCTTCCTCTTTCTCAGCCAGTCTTTCAAAGAACTCATGATCCTTTTCTTGACTAACAGTTAGGAACTCTAATAAGTCATTCGATTCTGGTTCATCCTTCCAAACTCTCTTTTTGTGGCTGTCGGCTGTTTACGCTTAGCTGGTCTTTTCCCTTTCCCTTTCCTTGCAGAAAAGCTCTTGATTTCATCCGAGTCATCTAGAGAATCCGGGGATTCACATACGGCAGAGCCACACAGATCTGAGACAGGAGAATCATCATCACTGAATCCACAGTCCACTGTGGATTTTGGAGTTATATTAGGCTTACACCCTAAGACTTCGTTCAGCTCCTCGTAATACTCACAAGATTTGTCATCATWTCCAGATCGGTTGTTGTGGTCTTTCACCTTCTTGTAATCATCTTTTAAAGCTTTGATGCGAGCTTTACACTGAGTGCCATTCCTGAAACYGTTTAAACCATGTTCTTTTAGCTGCTTGTTAAGACTTTTAGAGATGGTATCCCAAATTACAGCGTTCTTTTTCTTATTGATTGGGTATTGATCGCGCCATAAATCTAAGAGAAATCGCGTCTCTTGATCCGACCAGTTCTTCCCGCGACTTGATTTTGGAGTCGAATCTGTCTCAATATGATCTTGAGAAGCTCCTGACTTTGAAGGATTTGATGTCTGTTTCGGCTTGGGTCAGGGTAAACTGCTGGATTAAAATCAAACGTCGGCTGAGCTGTACTACTATTGTAGCCAAAATACTGGCCAGGTCTGAAAAGCAACGGCCCAGGATGGTGTTGTTGAGCGTTCAACAAATTCATCGGAGGTATAGTAAAGCGATTTCTGTAAGCAAAACAAAAAGTCGTGTTATTAAAGAAATCTTTAGTAATTTCACTACTAAAAGAAATGGTTAGGTACTGAATCAGCGAATTGCAATCACTTGAATGTGCACAAACCTTACCTGTGATTTGTAGAATTAGTATTATTGCTCGAAGTACTGGAAGGAACATTATTCGAGGGATCAGCCATGATTTTAAATACCAARWACACTAAAAGCACTCGGTATGTATTCTTCAAGAYGCTTATACACGGCAACCTGATCTGGTATCTGGCAAGCGTCTGTCAAAAGGTCAACCTGACGATCGCGGTGATTGGTCAGTTTGTCTACTTGGCAAAGTTAAACCATGTTGCGATGTAGTTTAAGATTTCCGGTGTTTTTGTGTCGCATTTACGAGTGAAAACACTTAGTAATCTTAAGGTGGTAGGAATGGCTAAAATGGGTGTCATTTCACGAAAAATTATTCAATTTGTGTTCAAAGTTTGTCCAATTGTATTATACAGTGGCCTTGTCTATAAAATTTTCTTCAAATTCGCAGGTGAAAAGGTGTGAAAAGTCGGGCCTAAGGTGTTAAAATTCCCCAAATAGCCCAGCCATGCTTTTTGAAAATTACTTAATATCTCGCTAGCTTAGCAATGGAATTACTCCAAACTAGAAAATATAAAAGTACTTTCTTTCATTT